TCTTATGCGCCACTTCATTTGCTGTGCCTTTGAGTTCTAAAATTTTGCACAGGTTGCAAAAAGCCGAAAATAGGTAAATTTACATCTTTCCAGCTTCTGCTGAACTTGTTGAGTTTAAATTTTAAAAAATTATCAAAAAATGATGACTGGAAAACTAGTCCTTCAAGAATTCATGTAATGCTAAAAGCTACAATGCGCTTAAAACATTTTTAGCTTGCTCACTCAAAAACAGTGCAAACCAGTGAACTGAAGTGTACAAGCATTTTTTGCACCAATAAAGACCAAAACTACTACGTAATGGACCTCAAATTTACATTTAAAAATAAGTGATGGATGCAACTGCTTGCAGAACAGGCGGGATTTCACCTACAAAATTTTCTTATCCTACAAAAATGTAAAAAAAAGAAATTCAATAAAGAAGGCTTACGCTGCGCTAGATATGAGGTAGATTTGTGGACGGTTCGCGCAATGGCAGAAAGTCGCTTTGGACCATGATATACGGCGTACATGGCTGCCATATTGGCGAGTAGTGCTTGCGCAGTGCAGATATTCGACGTTGCTTTATCACGCCGAATGTGCTGCTCACGAGTCTGCAGCGACAGTCTATATGCTGGCTCACCAGCTGCACCTCTGAATGTGTAATGCCCGCAGATCAAACAAGGTAAAAAGAAATTTGAGTCAAATGATTAGCGGGGTTCCCTCAGTGCAGCAGTAACCAATGTATTTCATGCAAATTAAGTTTGAAAACCGAAAAGAAAAACAAAACTTCATGAAAAAGAGGTCAGAACTCCCTTCTTTAAATCCATTTTTTTTAACGGATATTTTTCAGGTAAAAATATTTAAATGTTAAAATTTTTAGTTACAAAGCCTAAGCAGTCACAGTGCTTCAAACTACAGGAAATTCATTCGCACTAAAAATGTTGACAATATCGCAAACGGAGCCCTTTCTCAAAAACTGTCCTGGACTGGGAGAATCGAATTACCGCTCTTCACATCCGAACGCAACCTGTGACCGTTATACCACCAGCCTTTGTGCTCCAGGTTTAGCCTAGCAGCACATCTACTGTGTATCTGTCGATATATCCTTCATTTCTTCTCTGTCTCCCACAGGCAGTTTCCATCCTTTTCTTTGTGGCAACTTCTTGACCAGATTTTTGCGGGTTTTCTACGATTGATGAAGCGAGTGAATTTCTTATGGTTTAAAGTTTTATCAGAAATGCTAAGATCGTGATTAACATATCCTATACTTTAGGGCAAACAAATTTATTAGTTTGACCAACTTTTTGTTCCAAAGGACTAAGTTTTCCATTTTTAGCCTGAATTCCCCATAAACCCTGTTGCTGCTGACGATAGCATTCACACGCTTAGTAAGACTTTCGAAGATTTCTTTTTAAATTATGTTTGAGGAGCTAACTGAGTGCAGCAGAAATGATTTGAGGTGTAAGTTTATAATTACAACGCAGATAACATTTTTCAACAGTAGTTTTGAATCAGAAATACAAGGTAAAAGGTTGAGAGTCGCATCCTGTAATAACACACTAACACAGCTTATTTTTATGCGTTTTTTGCAGCAATGCAATGCGAAAAACGCATATTGACGAGAGGTTGCCTGTGTGTGTCTGTGTGTCCGTGTGTGCGCCTGTCACAGTTTTTTATCTCAATATCTACAAAAGTTACGGGGCTGAAACTTTGTGGACTTAATCTACACGCACCTACGGGCCCCAACCCCCAAAATTGGCACCATACCCCGTGTGGTACCCGCGTACGAGCCCGCCAAAGTTTTTTTCGAGTAAGTTCATAACTCGGGAATCTGAAAAGCTAGAAAGCTGAAATTTTAAGCGAATGTTTCCCGTCCAAGTATGTACTAATGAGCTCAAACACAGCTCCCGGGTAAGCGTGGTACCCGCGTACGGGCCCGCCAAAATTTTTTTTTTGGGTAAGTTCATAACTCGGGGATCTGATAAACTAGAACGCTGAAAGCTTAGGGTAATGTTCCTCGTCCAACTAGGTTTCAATGCACTCATATTCATCCCCTGGGCAAATGTGGTACCCACGTACGGGCCCGCCAAAATTTTTTTCGGGTAAGTCCATAACTCGGGATCTGAGAAGCTAGAAAGCTGG